GACCCAGCGGTTGGGTTCAAAACAACCCAACCGCTGGGTCAAAACAACCCAACTGCTGGGTTTGTCCCTTTTTAACCCATCGCTGGGTTATATTTAACCCAGCCTTTTTTAGAGTGTACTTGGAATTAAACGTGACAACCTGCTTTCACGAAGAGGCTGCAGCCATGCCTCACCATGGATTTTTTAAAAATAAATGCATTCCATTTGTGATTGTATACACAATCAAAAACTTTATTAACAGTCATTTAACTAGAATCTATTCAATGATCCACAATCTCACTTTACAGCTGATGTAACTATTCATGTTTTTTGAATTTGAAAGTTTAAGCAGGAAAGTTTCCTATTTTATTGTATCAAAGTCACAAGCAGCACTATTTAACGAGGCCTATAAGACATAGGTTTAGTTGATGGTGCGTTCAGTATTCAACCAGGTCTATTAGATTAATTAAAATAAAGTAAAATATTATAAATTAAAAACAGTGTTATAATGTATATTCTTACATTACATAGTTATACACTACTATATAGATTAAAATATCACAATGTTCTAAAAAATATTAGTGGGATTTATTAAAAAAAAGTGATGTTTCATGCCAATGGTATGACAAAACATTCAGTTTATTGTCTAAAACATTCATTAATATACAGTTGTGATGATACCCGAGCACTCGCTAACAGAAACTACAGTATCAGTCACGTGCAAGTGACGTAATATGAATGCGGCGCACACTTAAATAAATGCATTCCATTTGTGATTGTATCACAATCAAAAACTTTATTAACAGTCATTTAACTAGAATCTATTCAATGATCCACAATCTCACTTTACAGCTGATGTAACTATTCATGTTTTTTTAATTTGACAGTTTAAGCAGGAAAGTTTCCTATTTTATTGTATCAAAGTCACAAGCAGCACTATTTAACGAGGCCTATAAGACATAGGTTTAGTTGATGGTGAGTTCAGTATTCAACCAGGTCTATTAGATTAATTAAAATAAAGTAAAATATTATAAATTAAAAACAGTGTTATAATGTATATTCTTACATTACATAGTTATACACTACTATATAGATGAAAATATCACAATGTTCTAAAAAATATTAGTGGGATTTATTAAAAAAAAGTGATGTTTCATGCCGTGGTTTGTGTCTGGCCGATTTAATTAGTTTTGTTAAAACATTTATGCGCATTTTTTTATTTCTAGGTATTATGCTTTTGATGATTCGTTTGTTCGAGAGGTTCTGGGAAAGAAGCTCTCCAAAGGAACCAAAAAAGACCTTGATGATGTTAGTACAAAGACAGGCATTACGTTGAAGAGCTGCAGAAGACAGGTGAGATGAAGGACTACTGTTTTTACACTTTAAATTCGGTTGTCCTTGGTCTATTGGTCCATAAAAGAAAATTCTACATTAAGTTCTGGTTAGCTTAGCATTTTGTGCTGTCATTTTTATTAGAAAGCCTAAAGATACAAAACAAAAGGCATATGGATACAGCCACAACCTGGACAGATTTTATGACATATTTTGTGAACTTAGCGAACATCCGAAACCATGTGCTGGGCTACATGCACTTGTTATATATGTGTACATGTGGTGGTATGTTTACCAGCTCACAGATAGCTTATAAAATGTGTAAAGGAGTCAAAACAGATGTACAAATTCTTTGTTGCACACATGGAAATCTGCTGCAGAAAGTGGTTCAGATGTCTGTACCGAACTGTAACAGGCTTGAGCATTTCGTCTTTTTAGGGTCGCATCTTGTGACATAACTTCTTGATTTTGGTTTGTTTAGATGTCTTTGGTCCATTTTACAGTCATATATCAGTCAAATCATACAAGAGTTTGGAAGTACTTGTTTGGTTTGAATCAAGGTGGTTTGAAAGAAATCATTTGGTTTGAATGAACCACACTAATAGTGCAATCTCACCAGTGTACAGTTTAATCAAACCAAACCTGCCAAGTATAAACACACCCTAAGACTATAAACCTCTCATTGGTAGTAGCTAAGATGCATGCTTGGATACTTTTCCAAGACCCTTTTGAAATTATTGTATCTATCTCCTTAAATATAGTTTGACAACTTCAAGCGGGTGTTCAAAGTGGTGGAAGAACTCAAGGGCCCCCTGGTGGAAAACATACGGCAACACTTTCTGCTACCTGATCAATTAGCCAGGTGAGAAAGTCTTTTTCTGAGAAGTTTCTTCTTTCTAAACCTTTTTATTTAATCCAGAAATCTGGTAGAATTGAGCTCAGAAAATGAGGAACCAAACAACAACAACAAAAAAGGAATGGTTGTTACTAGGGCTGCACAATTAATCGAATTTCTAATCGCGATTACAATTATGGATGCCACAAGTACGTAATCGTTCAAAGCGGCAATTAATCGTTCAAAGTCCACTTATGTTATTCTGCATGCTTAAGATGCATTTTTTTCTTTCTACATGTTATCTTAAGGGTTTTCCCCATTATTTTAATTTTAGTTTTAGTATAACATTATAATACCATTCATATTTGTACTTTTTTATAATTGAAAGAAAAAAACAATCTGATGTATAGTTGAAATTTTAGGCTTAATACTATAGAAGAACACTAAAAGTTTTTCAGTTAGTGTTTTCAGCTTGTTTATTTTCATATAAAAATTAGGGATGCTCCGATCCTCCTTTTTCGCCTCTGATACCGAATCCGATACCTAGGGTTCGGTATTGGCCGATACCGATACCGATACCAGTGAAGTTTTTTTCCCTCATTTAAATAAATGTAGAATTTATATATCTCTGTGTGTGGAACTGATAATCATTCTTTCACAATCTACTAGATACAGACTACTTCATTATAAAGAAAAATAAAATAAACAAATATGAAAAAATATAGGCCTATGTATATTTATAATCTATGACAAATATGTATCATAAACTAGGTTAGTGGATAATTCGGCAGCAAAAGTTATTCTAGAAAAATCAGTGCACAATCATTTTAGAAATCCAAACATTTAGTGGAAAAAACTATTTTGTGGGGAACAAATAAAAGTGTTGCACTAAATATGGTAAAATGTTACACATTGCTATTTTTATTATTATAAAATCCATTCATTAAAAACATTCATGAATGTATTTATATATAAGTATATACTATAAAATTAAACTACATTTATTTTAAATGTATAGCATATTTTTTAATAAGGCAACAACATATGATAGACACGATAGGACAAAACAAATACAGTGCAGCACGAACATAGCCTGACATATGTTGTTGCCTTATTAAAAAATATGCTATACATTTAAAAGAAATGTAGTTTAATTTTATAGTATATACTTATATATAAATACATGAATGAATATAAGAATATAATGGGAACACAGAATGATCTTGGAGAGAGCTTTACCAAACTGACAGCTGTAACCGAACAAGACCAGTGTTTAAAGCCTGAACGAATGACTGACAGCCACAGCGGAGAAAAGAGCTTGTGTGAACTTTAATGTAAGGACTTAAATATTCATATGTAGCTCACATCGAGCTATCGTATGGCTTCAGAAGTAACACAGAATAATTCGCACAATCGGGAAAGAAAAATAAAAAAATCTCGGATTTGGATCGGCCCTCTCTGACCGATATCCGATCCGAGAAAAATGGCACTATCGGAGCCGATACCCGATATGAATATCGGATCGGCGCATCCCTAATAAAAATACGGCATGCAGTTGCGTCAAACAATGGTATAAACATCATTCAATGTAAATTGTGATAATCGTAATTAATAATCACAATTACAATTTCAAGGGAATAATCGACAATTATGATTTTTGTCATAATCTTGCATCCCTACGTTACATTATATGCATCCATTCTTCCAGTTGTATATTCATTAAAATTGTGAGAATACAAGTTCCCATGTACAGTTGCTTCAGTGTTGATTTAGTGCGTTTTCACCTTCTCTTGCTAAATGATCCTGCCAATTCCTGCTCCAGAGACTATGCTGCAATAGTGTTCTTTGCCAATAATCGTTTTGAGACGGGGAAGAAAAAGTTGCATTATCTAACCTTCCAGGACTTTGCCTTCTGTGCTGGGCAGCTCATCAACAACTGGACTGTAGGAGCTGTGGGTAAGATCAGTTACACAGCTCTTACACAGCCATCTGCAATACTTGAAATTGGTCAATCGTGGCGATAAATGGTCAAATATGTTTGTATAATGGCCACTAAACTAGGGCTGCACGATAAATCGCATGCGATATTTAATGTGCATCTTGTCAGTAAAGCCGGATCTGTAATCAGCGGTAAATCTCCATCACGTACGTTACTACACAGAGCCTTTATTCATTGACAAGCTGCACTAAACTGTTCATATATGATCGTGGTTTAGCGCAGCTTGTCAGTGAACAACGGCTCTGTGTAGTAAATGCTGCTCCATGTGAAAGCCCGCACGTGATGGAGATTTACCGCTGATTACAGAACCGGCTTTACTGACAAGATGCACATTAAATATCGCATGCGATTTATCGTGCAGCCCTACACTAAACTATATGACAGTTATGCCAGGCAGCCCATTCCCTATATTTGGATTGCTTAATTATGTCTCTTGTACCACTCAGGTTATTTTATTATTATAATAATTAATCATACTGTATTATTCATAATTACATATCTGTTTGTTTTTTAAGTAGCCATATATTAAATATATGAGAATATACAGTCAACTGGTCATTGTTGTAAAATAAACCTCTTCAGAGTGATCCATTTATGTCTTAATGTTCTGAATTAATTTGACATCTGCATGTGGTTATTAATGGACACCGTAGTTTAGAAAAATATTGACATAGATGAAAAGATCTCCTTTTTATGTCTTTGTCTGTTCTCTCAAAATCCATAATTTCTCTCCTTTAGATAACATAATGGAGGACATGGATGTAGATCTGGATAAGGAATTCCTTCAAGAGCTCAAAGACCTCAAAATTCTAATCACAGACAAGGATCTCTTAGACCAACACAAAAGGTGTGTGTGTTTGAGCGAGTGATTTGGACAGGGAGAAGAGAGATACGGGTCTGAGGAGGGCCGTTGTAAATGTCCTAATGTTGCATGCTTACTCCCTCTGTCTCAGCCATATGAATAATGAAACCTCTCATCCACTCAGTTTAGTGTGCACTGCTCTGCGGGGTAAAACCAATGTCTTCAATGAGATGGAAGCCAATTTTAAGGCAAGAGGTTTTATATTCTTGTGAAATTAATGTTTTTCTACATGATTCGTGATTTCAAAATATCTCTTGCTGTAGAATCTTTCAAGGGGCCTTGTAAATATCGCTGCCAAATTAATCAACGCAAAAGATGTTCGTGATTTCTTCATTGACCTTGTCGAAAAGGTACCTTTTTAGTTTAATAAAAGCATCTATCAGATCTGATGTGCTCACAAAGAATTAATTCCTTGTTCTCTTTACAGTTTATCGAACCTTGTCGATCAGATAAATGGACATCAATAGACGTGAACCTCTACCTTACTCATTATACTAACTCGGCACATATCCTTGACACCTTCAAGTAAGTCTCACTATGTTTGTTGTACAGTATGTACAGTCATTTCTTTTTTCTTTTTTTTTTCAACAATTGCTGCATATAGAGGTCTGTGTTCAAAGGAAATTCTCTTTGCAACCAGTGGGGGTCACTGTATCATATGCACATTGTTTTATCTGTAGTCACCTCTGTTTCCTGTCCAGTCATTTATGTGGTTAGACCACTGTGGAATGTGGTTTTCTGGTTATACAAACAAAATCACAACACTCAGAATCATTTGGAAAATATGTATTTATCTCAAACTGCACTATTTTTTAATGTTTATGAAAGAAGCCTCTTATGCTCACCAAAACCTGGATTTATTCGATCAAAAATACAGTAAAAACAATAACACTGTGAAATATCATTACAATTTAAAATGACTGTTTTTAAAAAATATATATTTTCATTCATTCAAATCGTTCTAATATGCTGATTTGAAATATTTCTTATTATCAGTGTTTGTTGACAACAGTTCAATATTTTTTTAAGAAACTGAGATATATTTTTTGACGAATAGAACGTTCAAAAGAACATCATTTATGTTTTATTAAGCATTTATTAAGTCTTTACTGTCACTTTTGATCAGTTTAATGCATCCTTGCTGAATAAAAGCATTTCTTAAAAAAATATTAATAATCATCATCTTACTGACCACAACATTTTCAGTGGTAGTGTTTATGAAGAGAATTTCACATCAAAGTATCAAAGTAAACATTTCAAATGCACATGTATTTATAAGCTGAAAAAAAGTGACACGTTTTTAAACCTCTCCCTCTTTTTTTTTTTTTCCTCAGGCACCATGCTGTCTGGACCAGGTACATGGGAGTTATCAAAAGTTGCATCCTTAGAATGTACCACGACTGAAGAAGAATCTCCATTTTTGCCTTTTCTCTCCCTTAATGATAACTCATCTGCATGCAGTCATGCATCTGATGATTATTTGGTCTGATGTTTAATTTTTTTCCAGTTTATCATCTACTTTCCCAAATATGTCCCCCTACCAGCTGTCCATCTCTTCACCTCCCTCTCCCTCTATCCCTGCCTCATTCTTTCACTCCTTGGCCTCCAGAACTGTATGACTTGTAAATAAACACAGCATGATTTCCTCAGACACTGTCTGCATTGTGTTTTCATTACCTCTGCTTTGTGGGTTTTCAACAATTTAACAAACCCACTTAAAGAAAACCCAGTATATTTGGTAATGATGGAGGTTCAGAACAAGACTATGCACTGATCATACTTGTTTTGACTGACATAATTTGGGGGTCTTAATGGTAAATAACGTGCTAACAGTCCAAAGGATGTTGTGGCTTACATAGAATGTACCACGACTGAAGAAGAATCTCCATTTTTGCCTTTTCTCTCCCTTAATGATAACTCATCTGCATGCAGTCATGCATCTGATGATTATTTGGTCTGATGTTTAATTTTTTTCCAGTTTATCATCTACTTTCCCAAATATGTCCCCCTACCAGCTGTCCATCTCTTCACCTCCCTCTCCCTCTATCCCTGCCTCATTCTTTCACTCCTTGGCCTCCAGAACTGTATGACTTGTAAATAAACACAGCATGATTTCCTCAGACACTGTCTGCATTGTGTTTTCATTACCTCTGCTTTGTGGGTTTTCCCATTTAACAAACCCACTTAAAGAAAACACAGTATATTTGGTAATGATGGAGGTTCAGAACAAGACTATGCACTGATCATACTTGTTTTGACTGACATAATTTGGGGGTCTTAATGGTAAATAACGTGCTAACAGTCCAAAGGATGTTGTGGCTTACATGTGCGTCTTTATGGCCCATATACTCCTGACCCCTCTGGCTTGACTAGGGTAAGTGGGTACACGATGGGTGTGAGGTCTGTGTGTGGGCCCACTGGGGGCTGGGAAAGCAGTAGGGGGGCCACAATTTGTCAGGCCTTGGTGGCACGATGTACGTGTGTGTTTTTGCAATAATAGTATGTAATGACAGCTGTCAGGCCTACCACATTACTCTTAGAGGTGTTTTGGTACAAGAGTAATGGCAAACAGATTTGTTTGCCTTTTTGTCATTTGCAGAGCAAAACTATGTTTATTTCTTTGTATAATTTGATGAAGCTTGAATGTGATGCCTCTAACATCAGGAATGCGCAACTGATTTTGTGACTTGACACAACCGTGTTAGGTACAATGTATAATAATTTCTTTATTATACATGCTATATGAAAGGCCTCAATTAAGCAAAAGCATTCTGTATGTCCCTGACATGTTTTTATAAATATAAAAACTATATTAACATACTATTCTTATGACTTCTGCCAAAATAAATAGTATGTTAGTTGCTATTCTGAATTCAGTATTACACTCTTAAAAAATAAAGGTTCCAACAATTGTCATAAATTTGAGATTCTTAGTCCACTAAATCTGTCTTCCAGTAATTTTGTGTAGGCAACTACAGATTTCTTGTTTAGCAAATTTCAATTAGTAACAAGAAATTGTATATGGTTTTATATATATATATATATATGGTTTATGTATTTGTTTCTGAAAGAGGAGTCACCTTACAAAGCAAACATATCTGCAATAAAGTTTTAAACGGTTGATACACAACTGCCATGATGACACAAACTTGACACAAGCTTAAAAAATGGTGACAGTGTACAAATGTGATGTTAAGAGCTCATCCTTTTACAAAACACATAACTAACAGTAATGAAGAAACAGTTTAAAGTCAGCAAAGCAATAATCCTTTAACAGCAGTAACAATATTACTCGATATGAAATTCTTAGTCCAGACTTTGGCTAGTTGGGACAACATTTGGGGGAATTCTGTTGAACTAAAAATGGTTTTCAATGTTTTAGTTACAAGCAAGTCACATTTCTTTGGTACTTATGACTCAACAGCTCCCATAAACTGGAAAATGTGTGGTATCTTATATTTGGAGAACATTTGATTGGACAAAAATCTGTGTAATGCAGTAATTAATATGTACATTTCATATACAGGTATCTGCTAAAATTGAATTTTGTCAACATTGACAAGTACTTAAGCATGCAGATAGACCCAAACTTCTAATTTCTAATTCATGCTCTATTGAGCATGTAAAGTAAAAATGTACTAGCAGTAAGAATGTGAGTCTTTCCATTGCCTCTCATTTCTAGTAATGTCAGCCTGCGAGTACCTCCAGTTTCAATATTTAGACACGGCAAAAAAGAGAACAACTTTTCCAAGCAGACGTGCGTCCTATCCTCCCTTCTTTCACTCTACCCTTGCCTCCTCTCTGTCTTTCTCTTTTTAGTTTGCTCTCTAATTTTTGTCTGCATTCCACCAGCTTCTCCCAAGCTATAAATATCCAGCTGAATGAAAGGAATAGAGAGAGCAAGAGACCGAAAAAGATGGGAGAGATGAAGGGTGACTTGAGGTGGAGGGGAAAAGAGAGAAAGAAAGTTGCAGGCTGTGGGGGGCGAGTTTAAATGAAACCAGGTGGGGTCTTTGCCTGTGTGTGTGTGTGTGGCTGGTTCTTATGCGTGTATGGAAGGGGGTTGGCTGCATGTGTGTGTGTGTGTGTGTGTGTGTGAATCTGTATGCTGTTGTTCTGTCGTTGAGCTAGACACATTTGGAATTTTGGAATTTGGGCCGCAGACCAGGAATTTTCATCCTGGGGGGTCAGACGAGGGGGGTCTGGGGGCGGAGGATGGCCGTGCAGGGGGGCTGTATGGGGGTCGGAATGGGCTGTCCCTCTCTCCTCTCTTCCGTCTTTCCCTCCCTTGCATACATTCACAGTCCAGCTGTCCGTCTCCACACTCACTCTATCAGGCTGAGGAGTGAGGATAGAAGAGAAGACGTGCCACCACTGCACTGAAACAAACTAGAGAGGGATCCACCGGAAGAAAAGAAGAAAACTTACTGCATTCAAGAACACAGTAAGAAGAAAGCCCGGCCTGTGAGTATAGCGCGTTTGCGAAAGAAAATCTAGTATTGCACTGTAATATAATGTCATTGAACTCCTGTAGCTGTTATTTGCATGGGGTCTTTGGGCCATTGTGGATCTGCTCATATAAGTAAAGCAGACACGTCAGACTGAATTGAAGTTATGTCACAGACAGTGTGGCAGAAGGAGAAAGCGATAAAGGGCAGACTAAGGAAAATTTCAACTGGCCGGTTTGCTCCAAGGCTGCACACGTCACGCGCACTCTCCAGCTCTCTTCCAAACATCCACGACTACAGACAGCACACTAGAGAGAGAGAACAATCAATCACATTATTCAGCAGATTCCACATCTCCTACCATACGTACTGGTGAAGATCGTATTATCTTATTATAGCTACCAACTTTCCATGCTTCTGCATAAAATGTTGTTGCGCTTAGTTTTAGCATTTATTACTCAACCATCGTGATGGTTTTACACATCTCTACACGTCTGAAGTGTTGCAAAACTTTCCAATCTCTTTTCCAACCTCTGTTTCACAACCAGACTAATGCCATTGACTGCACGTTGTTATTTGAGCCCTGCGAGCGTAAAATGGGTGACTTTGTTTAGATAATGTTTCTATTTTTAAAGACAAAAAGCTGATTCATACAAACTCCCGTCTGTTGATATGATATGAACGACACAGCAGAAAGGGAACATTACGTACAGACTCTCAAAGGTTTCTGAGGACACACAAAGGTCTGGGAATTTGTGGCTTGTGTGTTTATACCAAAATCGTTTTGGAAGCACAGGTGTTGTTATAAGAATGAAGGCTCAATAAAATGGCTATGTGACAGCAGAACAGGGAACACTGCTTTACTGTACTTATACAGGCCACTGCTGTTACGTCACGTTTGTTTATGTGTTCTACTAATTACTTATGTTAGATGTTTTATTTTATATGGCTGGATGCTGACTTGAGCATTCATATAAAAGCAATGAGTGTGACAGGGAGTCAAGTAAATCAGACTGGGGCCCTCTGTTGTAGCCACATTAGTTCTCTATGTTTGGTATTTGGAAATATTAATTTGTCTTCTCAGGACTGCTAAAGTAAGCAACCTGGAAGTAGTGAGCATCATTGATGGCCACCAAGGATCTTGTCTAGAACTTTTATAATATATACACTACTGTTCAAAAGTCTCATTCAAAAATTAAAAATTATATTCAGCAAGGATGCATTAAATTGATCAAGAGTTGTGTTACAAAACGATTTATTTTTCAAATAAATGATGTTCATTTTGAACATTATATTCATCAAAAAATCCTAAAAAAAAACTTATCATGCTTTTAAAAAAAAATTAAGTAGCACAACTGTTTTAAATTTTGATAATGATAAGAAACATTTCTTGAGCAGCAAATCAGCATATTAGAATGATTTCTGAAGAATCATGTGACACTGAAGACTGGAGTAATGATGCTGAAAATTCAGCTTTGCATCACTGGAATAAATGACATAAAATAGAATGAAATAGAAAACCTAATTGTAATAATAATTGTTCAAATAAATGAAGCCTTGGTGCATACTAGTAAGAGCCTTTCAATTGTCAAACCCCAAACATTTGAACACTTAGTACTTGTTTCAAGTTGTTGTAAATCAATCTTTGAATATAATTTTCAATGTCTGTATAATACTGTAGCCAAAATACAAACAATTGAGTCACTTGAAAACTTCAGTAACTGCTGCTGATGTAAACGGTACAGTTAATGTGATAAACTACATTAATGGACACTTGTTGAAATAGAGAACTGACTTTGTACATCCCCTAAAAATTACCTTGAGACCGTTTAGTTAAGAATAACTTCAAAATTAGCTAAGAAAAGAGAGATTTTCTTAGTAACAGCCTCTCATTTATTTGTAGATGCCACTTATTGTAGATATTTTGGTCACACTTTAGTTTGGGAACCAATTTTCACTATTATCCAACTACATCTTTTGCCTCAATAGACTCATAATTTTCTGCTTATTAACAATTAGTAAGGTAGTTGTTAAGTTTAGGTATTGGGTAGGATTAAGGGATCTAAAATATGATTATGCATAATAAGCCATTAATATGTGCTTTATAAGTAGTAATAAACAGCCAATATGCTAGTTATATGCATGCTAAAAAGCAACTATTTAATAGTGAGAATTGGTTCCTAAACATAAGTGTTAC